GCACCGACTCGAGAACTCCTCACTCGCTCCGTCCATCAAATCCATATCTCTCACTCTGAACCGATGGCATCCTCAGGCTCCCAAACCACTCAACTCCCCGACGCGCGCCTCGTCGTAACAGGCCACACCCCCACCGGCACCTCCATCTTCACCTCCGACTCCACCCTTACGCCCTTCACGCCCTTCGGCCCCCAAGGCTCCCACTTCACAACCTTCCACTCCTCCCCCACCGTCCCCGCATCCAACACTACACCCTACCCCACTCTCGACGCGGTCCTCCCGCGCTGCCCGCCCACCGGCGTCATCTTCTGCATCACAGACATCCAACCCGGCCGCGGCGGCGCGCCGATGCACCGCACGCAGAGCGTCGATTACGCCGTGGTGCTTTCTGGGGAGATTGTGTTGGCGTTGGATGGTGGGGATGAGAAGACTGTGAAGGCGGGGAGTTTATCGTGCAGAGAGGGGTGAATCATGCGTGGTTTAATCGGACGGAGGAGGTGTGTCGGGTTGCGGTTGTTCTGGTGGGGGCGGAGAAGATCGTTCTCGAGAATGGGAAGGTGTTGGAGCAGACCGTTTTGGGGGAAAAATTGGGGTAGGATTTGATTTTTGCATTTGAAGTGACGATGGCCGGAATCTGGCAGCTGTAAATGTGGATTATATGTAGATATTGCCCCTGAGAGTGGGAGTCTTGTTCGAGTTGATATCATTGCTTGTACTATGGAAGACACTGAAACCGAGAATTCGGATGAAAACATGTTGGAGGGAATACATGCGTGTGACGACGAATGTTCAATGCTGAGACAGAAAATGGGATGAGTGTATGCAACAAAAAAAGTGCTCAAGCGGCGCCGGGAATGAGCGTCTCAATAATACGTCTGCTCTCTTCATTCAATAGACAATTTCAGAGGCAAATCCGTGGTAGAGTGAAGTCTAAAAACGCACCATAACACGCCTCCTTCGCCTGACCCATCCCTGTAAACTGCGCTTGTTCTGTCTCGGTGCGCATGGCGAGGTTGAGTTCGTGCTGTTTCTTCGCGATATCCTGAACGCCGAAGAGACGACAATTCAGTGATGAAGAGAAGCGAGCGATATAATATAGGCACGAACGACGAGTGTCTGCTCCTCCTCCTTGATCAGCATCCACAGAGCACGGATCTTGTCCTCGCAGGTGGCGTAGTCGGTCAGGAATTTCGCGTAGATTTGTTCCCTTCAACAACGAGATTCGGTACCGCAAGCATCCACGGACGGGGGAAAAGGAACTGAATGCATACGTTGCTTCGATTGCACTCTTCACCTCGTCGGCAGCCGCAGAGAACTTGTGCGGAAAACATCGATAAGATTTTGAATTGGAAATGAGACATTGAAAACAGTACGCACCTCGCCGTTGAGCTTATGTCTCGCAGCCTGGAAGAACTTCTTCTCAAGCTCCTTACGCTTCCTTTCTTTCGATGCTATATCCCATCATCGCTTCAGTCTCCCACAACAGCTGCCTGACTCTGAGTGGAAACACACCCATGAGCTGTTGTGCGATGGCGAGCTGCATCCTACACCCATTCGAGTCAAGCGACGCGCGAAAGAGCAGAGATCAAGAAAACACCAACGCCTGGTCGTCGCTTCCACTGGCATTAGACTGTTGAGACGCGAGGAAGTCAAAGTCTTCGACTGGGGCGGCGGATTGAGCGCGTTGAGGCTTGGCGGCGGCGGCGCGACGGTGAGCCATGGAGAAGGACAGCGGCGAGTAAGTGCTTGAGTGAGAGGAGAGGAGAAGACGCGTCAGTCACGTCACTAAATCGAAGTCGGACCGATATGATTCGTAGATTAGATACAAGTAGGGCAGTTCTAACCCCACGTAAAAGATTAGGATTTCTATATGTCAGCGGCTCTCTGACCTATTCGAACCAATTCATGAAATTTTCAAGCAAATTCATGGAACGGATTACGGACCTTAGGAAAGTAGCAATATCCCGGCAGCCGCATGGCACATGCAGTCCAAAACATGAGGAGCTGCACGATGGTTGGCTGGCTGACGTCGAATGCGTAGACGTTCGAGACGTATGTAGTCGATAGTCCAAGATGTAATTTGTTTCTTCATTCAAACTCATTATTCCCAGCGACGTGCTCGGAATCTTTTCTGGAGTCCCTGTGCTTGCCAAGAGGTTACAAGGACCTGAACGCGACTAATCTGGGTTTTGTTTGATCACTTGAGGGCTACGAGCGTACTCAACCAAGAACGGGTAAGAAAAGTAGCATGGTGGAAGAGGTCAAGTAACTTAGCCGAAGTGATGGGCAATCATCCGATCATGGCCCGTCTTTACAGACTTCCACCTTTGTCCTCCATTACCTTCGCACATCAATCGAGGCTGCAAGCATTCGAGATTACCAGAGGTTCTCATTCGGCGCGAACATGGCAGATAAGAACACAGGCTCTGAATCATGACAGATCAAGTGGTATATACTGCAGCGACTCGCTGACTCAAAACCCGTTTCTTGCCCATAACCACTGGCCAGCGGGACGGGCAAGAGCGGGTAAGCCGCAGACTCGTAGTAACCAAACGATCGGACGGCGGTGCCCTCTCATCCGCCGGTACACCCGTCCCTGCGATTACCAAGCGCGAGGGCTTTGTAACGGAATCGGACGGAACCGGATGTCGTCGTTTTAAAAGTGCTATGTCTTGGGTTCAGTCCGACACTGAGTTCCCTCCTTTTTACCATGCCTGCTCAAAGAACGGCTCTAATCACTGGATGCTCCGATGGCGGTATCGGCGCTGCGCTGGCTAAGGAATACCACTCGCGAGGTACCGATCATTTTCTTGTAGAAGTTGGTTGAAAACTAATCTTGTGTGTCGTGTTCAGGTCTACGTGTGTTTGCCACCTCGCGGAGGGTAGAGACGATGAAGGGACTTGCTGCGCTTGGGATCGACATCATCGAACTCGATGTAACCAAAGTCGACTCAATTCGGAATGCCCGAGAAATTGTTTCTTCGAAGACAGGAGGGAAGCTTGATATTCTCGTGAACAATGCGTGAGCACAGTTTTTCAATTATGATTGTGGGGCATATTTTTAATTTACTTCGTAGCGGAAAACGTAGCTAAATCATCAGCTCACTCTTCTTCTCTGTCCTCATTCTTGTTTATTGTCCAGTCCACGAAGCGGCCATCCTCGATACGGAAATGTCCGAAATGCGCTCCGTCTTCGAACTCAACCTATTCGCACATATGTCGATGGCTCAAGAGTTTATTCAACTTCTCATGGCTGGACAAGACGCTTGTATCGTCAACATCGGTAGCGCAGCAGGGCTTGTTGCGATCCCCTTGCAAGCTGGCTACAACGCCAGCAAGGCGGCGCTCCACTCCTTTAGTGATACCCTCCCAAGAGGCACGCGGAACAAAAGTTTCGGACATCAACCTCAAAAAGTTTTGACATGCTGTGCCACATGAGGAGGAGGAGGGTCCGGATCACCGGTCCGCCACGGGAGGGCGGTCCCATCGGCTGTAAGGCCATTTTCGGTGGAATCGTAAGTTTCGGCCGAAGAAAACCCATCTCTCGTCATCATAACTGCCTCATGCATCAAAAGATCAATCCATTTATTGTGCGGGTCTGAGAACATAACATATAATTCTGAATAGACAAAACGAAAGAGAGCATACAAAAATGGGAGGGTAGGCGAAATATTAAAGACATTCGGGGTAAAAGAGCCCTCATGAACAGAAGTTTTTGTTTCGCCCCGTCAAAAGTTGGCCATCAGCACCACCTTCCTAATTGAGGGGCCCTGTCAATGAGGTCTGTGTGTGATCGGACATTCCCGCGTGCCTCTTGTACCCTCCGGGTTGAATTAGAACCGTTCAAGTGAGTTGAATTCTTGAGTCGGCGGCTCATAATCAATTGGTTTCAAGTATCAAGGTCATTACGGTGCGTGGACTATTGATATTCTCTCCTTAATTTGTCTGAATTATGTTCAAAAGACAGTAACCGCTCTGGTCAAGAGTAATATCTTCAAACCGACACGCTTCCCGAAAGACTCTCTATACAAGCCCCTGGAGGATGTCGTCAACGACTTGCATATTCAGAACAATAGTGCGTGCTCTCATTTACGAGTCAATTACCTCTTCCAACATAACTAAATCAAACTCATCAGAGAGGGCAGCCAGCGCGGAGAAGTACGCTCGGCAGCTCGTTGCGGAAACTCTCAGAACCAAACCGCCGGCATACTCATGGGGAGGCGCTTCGGCGAGTGCTTTCTGGTTCCTGGTCTCCTTCTTCCCTCGATGGGTACCGGTAAGCAAGACTCTAAATGCATGCTTCGTTCTGGATTGAACTGAATTTATTCTCAAGACGAAAATTACCTCCGACATGTACAAGTTCGGTGAGTTTTCTGCACAAGTGCGGAAGGACAGAGGCAAGAAGAATGCGTAGAAGTCGTACGCCTTGTGTGGCCGAGTCGGAGCATCTTGCCATGTTGCAGCGAGATCTCGATAGCGGTATTGTTCGACATATCCGGTAATGGCGGGTGGCATGCCCATATAGCGATTTGTGTGGTTACTTATGCCTTTTCGCCCGAAATTGGGCTCGTGTGCATCGACGCAAAAAAGTCAGTTAACTTCAGCCGCGGCTCCAACATTGCAACTAAACAAAGCTCTCAATTCTTGAGCACCATGCGCTCTCTCTTAAATACGTCCCGCAGACATTTCCTCAGACAAAGCTCTCGTCTATGGAAACCCTGAGATCTCAACTGACTCTTTTCTGGCATTCGTTGGCTGCCCTGATATCATGCAGACCGCCGGAGTTTCGGGACGCTACCGGTCTGTGTAAGATTTTGTAGGGTCTACGAATTCTACAGCCCTTACATCCATATCAACAGGACACTGAAGTGGTATATGTTCTGCTATCTCTTGTTTTGCCGAGCGAGTTCATTCAAGTTAAACAGTGAGCCGAGATCAAGACAGGTAAGATTCCAAGGAGCTGGCTCGCTATGGGTGAGACCTGGGATTAGCCACTCATCGGCCTGATGGTCTAGTAGTATGATTCCTTGTTAGGGTGCGGTGTTCTACCAGGTCACGTGTCTCGAGGAGGTCCCGGGTTCAATTCCCGGTTAGGCCCTTTTTGCCTTTTTGGCGAAACCAGAACTGTTCCCGACACTTCTACGCACATTTCTAGCCAACTTTCAAGCATTTTGGATCACTACAACCCTCACAAAGTGCAATTTACTCCCAAGGTTCTCATTGTCAGCTCCTGTCATTTTTAGTGATGGGAAAGTCTTGTCCCGAACGCTGAACCTGAACGCGGGGTCGCGTTCAGCAATTTGCTGAACCTAAACTTGAACTCCACGTTCAGATTTCACCGTATATCACCAGCTACGTTTCATTCAGCCAGGTTCTTCACTGCTCTCACAGTCTACAATTTTCCCAAGAGAGCTGGCTGGCCGATTCACCAAACTGTACTTCTACACATTATATCGACCCGTACGCTACCAAACTGCGCGAATGCTCAACATCAAGGGGTGGCTCACAACAAAGGCACAAAACAGATGTTGCATCATACCGCCGTTTCCTTCTCCGTATGCTCCCACAAACGCGCCATCGCTTCGGGCGATCCAAAATACTTCTCCATCCCCATATCATCGCCCGTAGCACCTGTCCGAGCGGCCCCCTTCCCTGCCTTCAACAAAGCATACAATTGGTATTCACCCGCCGCCTCGATTGAGTACATCAACGGAGAGAAGAGCGGCACCAAGAAACTGATTGAGCGAATGAGCCGCGAGTCGGAATTCTTGGCTCCACCGGTGCTCACAACACCAGGGAATGAGTGTACAAATGTGAGCTCGGGGTATCTCTGTGCGAGATCCTGGATCGAGGGTCAACACGAGTCGTTTGCTACATGGAGAATCTCACCAAAACCATAAGGTCATTATATGTCGGAGCAGTATGCGCAGCGTTTGGAATACTGAAGGTCTTTTTCAATCCGAGATCGTCCAGGTCAATCTTTTGGCCATCTCCAGCTGCAAGGACGGAAATGACTTTCGAGTCTTCGCCTGCTTTCTGCGCATTTTCAATAGCCGGCAGAAGATCCTTGATAAACCGCCATCGCCCGTAATAATGTACCGCAAGTTTGCGGTCGATTCCCTCCTCCGTTTCGTTCCGGCCATTGATAGTGAGCACTCCAGGCGTCAAGACAAGAAAATTGATCTTCGAATGCCGCTCGCGCAGCTCCGTCGACGCGCGGTGTACATTCTTCATCAAGGTAGCGTCGCATTCGACGAATTCGTGGGTGACGCCAGAAACGGTGGGCTTGGGGAAGGTGCGGATGATGGATTCTGCGGCGCTGCGATTCCGACCGACGAGGACGATGTTAGCGTTTCCTTTCGTTTGTCGAGCGAAAGCTTCGGCCATTCCCCGCCCGATGCCAGAGGTTCCTCCGACGAAAATGGCAACAGGGGTGTAGCTGGGGGAGAAGGAGGCGTTAAAGGCGCGGGCGGCGGCGAGAGAAGGCATGGTGGGGGTGCGGGATATGTCGACCTTCGACTCGGGCTGGTCGACTGTTTATATGATACCCGGGACTTTACTAGATGCCGAATGACGCGGTGCGGCATCCGACACTGCAATAATCTTTCGTAGGCTGCATGGCCACATTTTACGTATCGCTCGGCGAGAAATTTGACCAGTCTAGATACTGTTAGCGTCGACAGTTCTGTTATGGTTCATGGACTGAGCAAGGATTAATATCGACTCCGAAGAAACATCCGAACTCTCGAGATCAATGATGAATTGATCGGGATCATGATGTTGAAACATTTCCACGTGACCGTCTGCCTCTTTTGCTTCCCCTTCATTTACGGATTCGAAACTCTCGTTTGCCTTGGACAAATTTCGACAAAGTCTTCCGGAAATGCAAGGCTCTTCATTCGATGGGCATATTATACGCTATGTGCTTGCCCTCAAGTGACAGAACTCGGATCTTTTAAGTTTTCCCGTCTCTTGCAAGCTTTCACAACAGAATGATTGTCCTCCGAGTCCGAGTCCGAGTCGTACGGCGTGCAGTTTGTTGCAAATTTTCTGCGCTTTGCAATCAAGAGCTGCTTGAGTTCCTCTCTTTCCCCTTTTGCGTAACAATGGTCCGCTTTGGCTGATGTGGCCACTTTCCGCTTGGGCCATTAATGGTCCTTCATAAAGAACTTGAAGGGATCATGCAATGCCACTCAAATCGCTTTCTTTCTCTCTTTCACGTTGATAAATTTCAAGATGACCGGCGACTGCGTCGCCACTGTAGACTCGCGTGCCACCCTCTGTAAAGCACGCACCTCTGTTGGGATGAATTGGTGTCCACGGCATAACGAGGTCGGTCAACGCGATGAATCTTCCTATCCCGTCTTGAGTCACTTATTCTCTCCAGGAACGCGCCAAGCTCTATTCAAACTACAAGTACTGGCAATCTATCCTCGATTCTATTAGCGGGAATGTCGAAGTCTGTGGCATGGAGGACATACGAGTTTGTCGCTCGATGCCAACGATCCGGGATTGGAATGAAAAGATCCGCCTTCAACATGGCCTTGTCGATAGGTATGTTCATCCTTCAATCTTCTTTTTTGCATGACCGAATGTCGCTCCAGATGCATAAAAGCACGGGAACGCTTCACTGAACGCTTCTTTGGGTACGCACCTCCCATTAATTAGCCATTCATCGAGTAAATCAAAGATTAACCACTCTCTTCCAGCAATGATATGGTTCGTTCTTCACTTGCCACCCCATTCTCATCTCACACTCCTCAGGACTTCGGTCATCGCAAGTTCTGGGAAGGTCTGGTACAGCACCGCAATGAACTCGAGCAGCTCCTCCATCGCCTGGAGGGCCGTGGTTACGATCTTCTCCTCGAGGCTCAAAATGCCGCCTGGGTTCGGTCTCAATCCTCTCACGAATCAGTTTCGGGATGCTCCAAGCACCATGGAGACTTTGAACTCGGCCTAGACGACACCAGCGACCTCTTTTCCAGCGATCCCCTTGAACGCTCTGTTTTCGCGCAATCCGAGTCGGCGCGTCTCTGGGAAGGCGTTCGGTGGCGGCTCTCATGTTTCATGCTCCCGACCTCTTCAATATTTTACGAGGAGCGCAAACGCGTGGTCTGGGCGTACTTCCGCCGCGCAATCTACACCGACCCAACTCTCATGATCCTCGCATCCAACCACGTCGACGTACCGACATTCCTGACTGACCCGAACCACGATGTGGCAATCGCGAAACTTGTACAAGAGAAGATGAGGAGGATGTCCACGGAGGAGATTTGGGCGGCCATCGCCGACGTGCTTCGACCTGTTGACACCGAAACGGAGTTTATCGTCGTGCTCGGGATGCGCGTGTACAAGTCGCTTAGCGGCATAGCGCATCCGTTTCGTGCCTGGGGGCATGTCTTTGCGTTTCGGAGCTGTGTGAGTTGTGTGAGGACGATTTGTCCGACGGTACGTGCTCTTCTACGACGAGTTTTCTGTTTCATGCTAATATGAGGACCTGTAGGTCGAAGACATGATCGAGTGCCAGCGCTACGCCTTGCTCACTGGGTCTGCGAATTTCCCAGTACCTCACTCGACTCATGTCGAGCATGCAAATTTCTACGGTGTAGGGATACTCGCTGTCTGTGGCCTTCTCGTCGGATTCGTCGAGACCGAAAAGCACGTCACCGGTCCCACACACAGTAAATCTGAAGACGGGAGCGGAGACATAACATGGGAACAAAAGAAACATCCGCCCGTCCTCTACGCCGCTCTATCCTGCGAAGACGAATATTCGCATCGCTTCCTCAACGAACTTCTACGGCGGTGTCTTTTATACAAACACCTCACCGTGATATTGCGCAAGGGGAAAGATCAACAAGTGGTCCGTTCTATGCACTGCATCCACGCTACGTATCGTCGCACCTCAAGTTCGCTCGTGGGTCTGACGAAGGGGAGTCGTTGGGAATGCACCACCACCTATAAAGATGCGATCCTCGAATCCTGTCAAGCGGAGATATTCTGCCATGGCAGCAGCGACGCTATGAACGCCCCTGCCGCAAGTTTCGACGACTGCATGCAATTCGTCCTCCTCGACGGAATCAACGGAGATCACGACGAGTGCTACATTCTCCGTGATCTTATACGCCAGTGTATGACGCAGTACAATGTCAAGACGCCGGTTGATCTGTGTAAGGCGATCGCGGAACCGTATGTTGCGCAGGGGGAACTGGAGTTGGATGAGATGGTTTGTGAGGGGTCAACCGGGAATCCGAATCTTGAATATGGGTTTGTTGCGTATGAGGCGCTTTGGGGAGCGCCGCCAAGGTGGCAGGAGGAGCGACAGAAGGCGGTGTATCGCTCTGCTTGGAGTATGGCGAGGTTGCTGGCTGAGAAGCATGGGGATTCGCTATCGAGTGATCTGACTGGTTGATTTATGCATTCAATATGTTTATCATGGGGTCCTTGTAATTTTTATCAGGTATCTAGTAGTGACCGTGACTGTCGACCGACGACGGCGGATCCCGCGAGGAACTGTGCAATGAACCATGAGCCGGAAGAACCTTCCCGAATTCAAAGGCAGAACAGCGCTGAACAACGTGAACTCAATTAAGAATTTAAACATGACTAAGCGCGATTACACCTCGGGATCCGGTTGCCGGTTTCAACCGCAACGGATTCGTGTACATACCCACTTGGGAAGAAGGCTATAAAGTCTCGCTGTCTGCGTCGACGCTGCCTCAGACTTATCATTATGCCCGCCCCACAAAGAACGGTTCTCATAACTGGATGCACTGACGGAGGGATTGGGGCTGCTCTTGCTGCTGAATATCACTCCCGAGGTCGGTCCCAACGCTGAGCGCTCCACGTCGGATATGTTTCTTAATTGATTTACTCAGGTTTACGCGTCTTTGCCACGTCGCGAAGGGTAGAGACCATGAAAGGGCTGGAGGAACTCGGAATTGAGACGCTGGCACTGGATATAACCAAGCTCGACTCGATTCGGAATGCGAGGGATGTTGTTTCTGCTCGTACGACTGGGAAGCTTGATATTCTTGTTAACAATGCGTCAGTTCTGTCTCTCAACTCACTTGATATTATTCTCAAACTCTATCAGGG